TTGTCTCCACTCCAAGGACAGTGAGAAGTGAGCTACACCACAAGATGGGCAGCCAACAGCAACTTCACTCTGACTGTACCCTTCTCCAGAATATCATTTCATCTGAGATCATGTATTCCTAGAATGACTGAAGTCTGAAACATGTTTGTACAGCTAAACATCAATGCAATAAAGTCAGTTGACCAAATGAAATCTCTGGCCCACAGATGGCTCCAACTTCATCCTATTTCCTATTTGAATATTTCATAAGAAAAACATTTCAATTGAGATGAGGTAGATAACAACTCTAGCTTGTAAATAAAGGTAGTAACTCTTAACCTAACCTTGTAAAATCAGTGTGTAAATAAAAATCGAGATAGGCAGGAGAGAATTGACCTGAACAAGAATACCTAAACAAAAACCAGCAACACTGAAGATGTACAAGAGACCCTAACACAAAGTCTCAATTAATATATCAAAGGGAAGCCCAAATTCAAAACTGCCTTACGGAACAGTGGAGATGTGGCAGTTCAGAAGGTCCTTTGAACTGTGATATCTGTTCACTGCTGGAACCATAGCTATTGAATGAACCTCTCACTTTTTTTAGTGGGTCACATTGTATCAGTGTAAGGCAGCTGGTGTGGGAAACAACAACAAATGAATAAACAGAAGGGTGGATGAGGAGCTCAAACCACAATCTGTAAACTGACAGTCCGATGCTCCACTGTCAATTTACGGATTGCAGTTCGAGCGCCTCATCCATCCTTCTGTTTATTATAACTTAATCTGAGTTAAGCTACAAATGCTGAAGGTGATGGAAGGTGTATGGGACAGGAAGGAATATGGATATGTTGATAGGTACCAACCAAAGGTGAGTATGGAGGAAAGGAATGAGGCAGCGAGGATACAAGGAAGCAAGGCTGTGGGAAGGATACAAGGGGGCAAGGCAATGGGAACGATACAAGGTGGTGAGGCAGTGGGAAGGATACAAGGAGGCGAGGCAGTGGGAAGGATACAAGGAGGCAAGGCAGTGGGAAGGATACAAGGTGGTGAGGCAGTGGGAAGGATACAAGGAGGCGAGGCAGTGGGAAGGATACAAGGAGGCAAGGCAGTGGGAAGGATACAAGGAGGTGAGGCAGTGGGAAGGATACGAGGCGAGGCAGTGGGAAAGATACAAGGGGGCAAAGCAGTGGGAAGGATGAAAGAGGGTGAGACAGTTGGAAGGATACAAGGGGCATTCTTTGTGTGGGAAGGATACATGAAGGCAAGGCAGTAGGAAGGACGAAAAAGGGCGAGACAGTAGGTAGGATGAAAGAGGGTGAAGCAGTGAGCAACATAAGTGGATATAGTACTGAAGATATATTAATACCGGCTGTAGGTGAAACAGTCTTGGAATGTAAGACATTCATTCAATACATTATATGTATGAAAGTGGAGAAGGCACCTAAGGAGTAGCAGAAGCATACATAATGCTTCGGTACAAGAAAAAAAATGTTCAAGAATTCTAGGTAATAAGTCTGTCAACTGAGTAAGCATACAGTACAATTATAAAGTGGGGGGAAAGAAAGTAGGCTTGCAGATAAATATGAAGGACTGAGAAATGAGTAGGGATGCATGAATCAGACATTTACAAAGAACAATAATGGGATTAGAGGCTAGTAACCCTTTATCCTGTATAAATTACTATTAGTATAAAGTAAAAAATTTCATTTTTCTTTTTGGGTCACACAACCTTGGTGGCAGACAGCCGGTGCATTAAAAAAATAATGCGATTAATGCTCAGATACGGCTAAGTAACTGTTTGATGTAACAAAAATTGCAACACCCGGATTGTAAACAAACCATGGAACGAGTGAGGTTTGAATCCAAGAGGCCCATTCTATCCTCTCTCTGGTGTATACAATATTATTTTGGGGGTGATAAACGTGTAGGGATTAACCCTTAAATTGTCCAAACGTAGATCTACATTGACGTGCGTAGTGCTCCGTATGTAGATCTATGGCTGTTTTTACATGCTTTCAAATGGAGAAAATCAAGGTCGGAGCATTACATACATTAAAGTAGATCTACGTTTGGACAGTTTAACCCTTTCAGGGTTTCCGACGTACTAGTACAGCTTACGCACCAGGGTTATTGACGTACTAGAACGCCTAAATTCTAGCACCTTCAAATCTAGCGAAAGAAAGCTGGTAGGCCTACATATGAAAGAATGGGTCTACATGGTCAGTGTGCCCAGTATAAAAAAAATCCTGCAGCATAGTGTGTAATGAGGAAAAAAACTTACCGTGTTTTTGGATTAAAACAGCGACTTTGCACTGTATTTCCGTATGGTATTTATGGTTGTATTCTAGATTTCCTGGTCTCATTTTATAGAATGGAAGACATATTACAGAAATTTAGATGACTATGATTGGTTTCACAATGAAAAGTACCTTGAAATTGAGCTCAAAGTAGCAGAAATGTTAGATTTTTACCAAAGTTCAAAAGTAAACAAATCATGCCAAGCGTCCAATACACATCAACTGGTGAGTCTAATATTCTTTCACAAGTGTGCTGATATTATTTATACCATTTCTACACTAACGCAGTAGTCTGCATAACAGTAAATCTTTTATTTTTTGTGAGAATAAAAATTCAAAGTGGAAAGCCAAAGAAATGTAAGAGGGGCCTGGGGATGTGACTAACGAACAGAGAACTTGTTATTTTAGTGCCAGGAATGTCTGTCTTGTTTATTCTGGACCTTATTTGGAAATTGGCATCTTCTGAAAATTGTGTGAAATTGGCAAAATTGCCAATTTCTAACCACTTTATTGGACAGTTGAAATTGGTAAATGGGTGGTTTCTTGTACTCATTCGATAGAAAAAATGGAGTTCTAGTGGAATACATATGATTTTTGTCGACTAGTACACAGAAATTGGCCGAAAATAGGGCTCAAATTGGGCAAAATCGCTGATACGTAAATATCGTTGAGACCGCTAACTTTGCGAGAGCATAATTTCATAAGTTTTCCATCAAATTTCATACTTTTGGTGTCATTATGATAAGGAAAAGATTCTCTATCATTTCATAAGATTTTTTTTTTTTCCGAAAAATTTCCGAACCTGAGAACGAGTTTAGGAGAGAGCCTCTCAACCCTGAAAGGGTTAACCCTTTTCTTATGAAATGAGAGAGAATCTTTTCCCAAAAGTAATGACACCAAAAGAACGAAATTTGATGGAAAACTTACGAAATTACGCTCTCGTGAAGTTAGCGACCTCGGTGATATTTATGAATCGGCGATTTCACCCACTTTGAACCCTATTTTCAGCTAATTCCATTGTTCCAGTCGACCAAACACACAGCTATTTCTTTAGAACTCCATTTGTTCTATCGATTGAGTACAAGAAACTGCCCATTTATCGATTTCAACTACCCAATAACGTGGTCAGAAATTTGCAATTTGGCCAATTTCACAAAAATAAAAAAATATGACAATTTCAAAATAGGGTTCAGAATGAACAATGCAAACATTCCTGGCTCTAAAATGACATTTTCTTTGTTCGTCAGTCATATCTCCAGGCCCCTCTGATATTACTCTTGCTTTCTATTTTGAATTTTTATTCAAACAAAAAATAGAAAATTTACTGTTATGCAGACTACTGCAATATTGTAATAATTGTATAAATAATGTCAACCCATTCATGACTGCATATTAGAATGGCTAGTTGGACATTTATTGGAAAATGACATTTGTTTACTTTTGAACAATGACAAAAATTTAACATTTCCTCTACTTTGAGCTCCATTTCAAGGTTCATTTCATAGTAAAATCAATCAAAATCACCTCTATTTCTATAATATGTTTTCCATCCTATCAAATGAGACCAAGAAAACGAGAATACAACCATAAATACTATACGAAAATACACCACAAATCTGGCATTTTAATCCAAAAAAACAGTCGGAGTTTTCTTTCTTATTATGCACTGCGTGCTGCAGGATTTTTTTTATATGGTGCACACTGATCACACAGACCCATTCTCTCACATGTGGGCCTACCAGCTTTCTCCTGCTTGATTTGAAGCCGCTAGAATTTTGAGTATATATACGTCAAACACGGTGGCTCGTAAGACGTATATGTATGACCGAAACATACAGAGTTCAACAGCATTTTGGGGGGGGGGGTTATGGAATGTATTCAAGCTTAATTAAGGGACTTGGAGTATACCTGGAGAGGGTTTTGGGGGCCAACACCCCTGTGGCCTAGTTATGGATCAGGACCTGATCAACCAGGCTGTTACTGCTGGCTGCACATAAACCAACACATGAACCACAGCCCAGCTGGTCAAGTACTGAATTAAGGTGCCTGTCCAGCACCTTCTTGAAGACAGCCAGAGGTCTATTGGTAATCCCTCTTAAGTATGCCAGGAGCACAGATCCAATTCCCTAGATCAAGAGCCCCTCATAGTGTATTGAAATATACCTAATTGGATGAATCTTACTGTAGCCAGCTGGTCCAGTGGGTAACACACTGACCTGCAAGTTGCACAACTCACTCACCACAGTACTGTATCATGGTTTGTTTTATTGTATTTATGGACTGAGAAAAGCTCTAAGGTAAGGTGGATATAGGATTAATGTGACAAGTGTTGCATATGAATGGTATAGCTCTTGGGTTACTAAAAGATGTTAAGCTTTTAGAAGAGTGAGGCATGCATTAGGGTACATGGAAGAGAAGTGTGTAGGAGATAAGCAAAGTAACATACATATGTAGAGATTCACGGGGAAACGGTCAGCCTGACTTGAGTCCTGGAGTCAGGAAGTATAGTGCCTGCAATCTGAAGGAGGGATGTTGCATTTCGAAAGGCTATCTGAACTGTGAAGTAAACTCACTTCTGGCAACATAGTGATTGAGAAAACTATGGTGAATGCTTTTCCTTATTTTTGGTGGGTTTCCTTACCACGGTGGGAGACAACCAGAGTTAAAAACAACACATGTTCCAAGAGAAATATGCAACTGAACTGAGAATGATGTACCAACCTGTTGAAAGTCCACATGTAGTCAGTTACTAATCTTTCACTTCGTCAACACAGACTGTCCATAGTACGTTCTTCTGGTAGATACTTTACAATCAGTCACTGCTGCATCACTTCAGTGACACAAACCTGGAAATATATTTGCTGTCAGTAATATATTCAAAGATGACATATATACTAGAGTGCATCATCATTTTCTTCCTTAAAAAACAACCCTTTATTAGGCAGGGAATAAAAATACAAAGTGATTTGTATATTCTTTTAGCAAGTTATAGATTGGCTCATTCTAAAACCTTTTTTACTCCTGTGAATTGTCATATCTATCATAGTACTCTCTTTATGAATTGCTGAATGTGAATTGTCATTATTAAACTTACAAGTGACTGGAAACCTGCTTCCATGTCTGAAACTATATAGTTACACATCTCGTCTACTTACTCCTCTTGGGAAAGAGTCAAGAGCAATCTGATTGGTTACTTGAGGATGACAAAGAGTTCTCCAATTTAGTGGATGAAATTTCAACAATTTTGTGTCCAGGATGAGCTCTGGAACCCTTTCAGATAAGGGTCCATAATCAATCCCTTGTCTGATCAAGAAAAGAAGCCAATTAAGTGGAAATCCTGAATGCTTATTATCATTCGGCTTTATGCCATCATTCATTCAGTCTCTGTCTTGCCAGAAGTGCCGACACTGCTATCAGAGTATCCACCTGACTAACTTATCTGCCCTTCCCACCTCCAGGACTCAAGTCTGGCTAACCAGTTTGCCCTGAATGAATGCATGACCTACTTAGCTCATACTACAACAGAACATTCATTAAAAACTACTGGTCTCCATTCACTCTCAACAGGTTCATACAAGCCTGCTGGGTTTTCAAGCCCCACTTTTACTCTCCTCCAGCAATTCCAGGGACAACCCCTATTCCTCCTACCTTCCACCCCAGATTTGTACACCCTCTCTGTCAACTTATCCCTCTCCATCTTCTCATTATTAACAATTATTACTAATATATTTAACGTAAAGGATTAACACTAGAGGGTTTCCACGAGTGATACAAGGTTGTAAGTCTCAACTATAATGTTTCAGTCACTTTATTGACATGTCTTAAGTCACAGTAATTCACACAGTCACAGAAGGATGGAGTGGTGTAATATTCCTCTAGGATAGCTTGATGCTGTAATATTTCTCTTACAATTATTACACTGCATGCCCAAAAACCACCACCTTCACAGTTGTTTTTTTGTTAGAGAACACAAACTTTACTTAGGATATATGTTCATATATTTATTGACATCTTAAAAATGATCTTCTGTAGTGAGAATAATTAATGTCTTTGACATTAATTTTCCTTTAAGAAAAAATTCTAGGATTTCAGTTTATTGCCTAGTAAATTATTATTATAATCAAAAAGAAGCGCTAAGCCACAAGGACTATACAGCGCTGCAGGGCAGGAAGGAAGCGAGGGCATCAGGTGGCAAAAGGGAGATGGATGAGTAATAGGTTACGGATAACAGCGGGGTAGTGGATGGTGAAAGGGTAAAGGGCAGCAAGAGACTGAACTAGAAAGGGCTGAGGGGAGTGCGAAAAGTATCATCAGAGTTTGTGGAGTAAATCAGTCGTTGTCAAGAAGTCAATGAGAGAGTCAGGATTAAAGGAGGGTCCATCAGCAAGAAGGGAAGGTAAAGAGAGAGTAGTAGAACGAAGACGACGTTGGAGGTAAATTCTGCGTGCTCGTTGATAGAGAGGGCAGTCTAACAGAATGTGGCTAATCGATACTGGAACTTGACACTGCTCACAGAGAGGAACAGGGTGCCTCTCCATGAGATACCCATGAGTAAGACGAGTGTGGCCAATTCGAAGGCGGGAGAGTGGGGTCTCCCTCGGCACTGATGACAAGAAGATGGCCAGTAACCTATGCTCGGTTTAATAGAATGAAGTTTGTTACCGAGCAGAGTTGACCAACGTTGTTGCCAATGGGTGCGAAGGTGGGTAGATATTGCAGCAAAACAGTCCAGAAATGGAACACCTCTATAGGAAATTGGTAGGTCATGTACTGCTGACTGCACAGCAGTGTCTGCCTGTTCATTGCCCTGTACGTCGACATGACCAGGGACCCAACAAAAAACAATATCTTTATGTTTGGTAGAGATACGGCGTAGCCAAAGTTGGATATGGAGAACTAGGGGGAGAGATGTATCAAATTTTTGTATAGCCTGTAGAGCACTAAGGGAGTCTGAGACTACTACAAATGATGACACAGGCATAGATGCGATACGAATAAGTGCTGCAAGAATGGCATACAATTCAGCAGTAAAAATGCTAGCCGAAGATAGTAAATGCCCCCGCACGACGCTGTCCGGAAACACTGCTGCGAATCCGACGCCGTCTGAAGACTTAGAGCCATCTGTGTACACAGCGGTGGCATGAGAATGGGAGTGGAAGTGATCAAGAAAAAGAGAGCGGGAAGCCACCGTAGGCAGTTGAGCTTTCGAGCAAGGGAGTGAGAAAGAACAGACCCGAACAGCTGGAACTTCCCAGGGGGGTAGGGAAAAGTGAGATGCTACATGAACATATAAAGGTGGTAACTGAAGGGAAGACAAGTGTGAATGTAGGTGAAGAGAAAAGGGACGGAGCAAACAAGGGGCGGCGAACGAATAAAGAATGTCTACTAATATCGGTGACCATTCTATAAATGGAAGGATTGTGGAGATCGTGAGAGCGTACATAGAAGTGAAGGCAATGGGCATCACGGCGATCAGACAAGGATGGAACATTCGCTTCTGCATAGAGGCTCTCAACAGGGGAAGAGCAAAAAGCACCAAGGCACAAACGTAATCCTTGGTGATGGATAGAGTTAAGGCTAGAGAGAGTAGCAGGAGAGGCCGCGGAATAAATTTGGTCACCATAATCGAGTTTCGATAAAATGAGGGTTGAATGTAGGCAAAGCAGAGTTCGATGATCAGCTCCCCAGGAAAGATGAGCAAGGGTTTTAAGAAGGTTTAGCCGGCTGTGACAAGTTGCCTTCAGAGAGGTAATGCGAGGTTTCCAGGATAACCTACGGTCAAAGAGAAGGCCTAGAAACCTGACTGTATCACGTTCGGGGATACGGGAGCCATAGAGATACAAAGGATGATCGGAGATGACAGAGCGTCTAGTGAAAGTAATTTGGTGAGTTTTGGCACTTGAAAATTTAAACCCATGCGTGGTGGCCCCCAAGTGGAAACACGGTCGACCGCATGCTGGAGAGAAACTGCAATGAGATGACAGTCAGCGCCTGCACAAGCAATAGCGAAGTCATCAACAGAGTGATGACCAAATATTGGGTGGAAGAACAGAGGCCAAATCATTTATAGCAAGGAGAAAAAGTGTTGTGCTTAGAACACATCCCTGAGGGACACCTTCAGCTTGGACGAAGTCCGGGGAAAGAACATTATTGACTTGAACACGGAAATGTCTGTCAGTTAAAAAGTTCTTAAGATTGCCTCGGAGGCCTAAGGAGTGGGCCTGGGCCAAAATATTATACCTCCAAGTTGTGTCATATGCCTTCTCAAGGTCAAAAAATATGGCAATAACTGAGTGATTATTCGCAAAGGCATTACGAACATACGTATCCAAGCGTAGTAAGGGGCCTATGGTAGAACAACCCTTACGAAAGCGATATTGACTTGCGGAGAGACTGTTGTGTGTCTCTAAATACCACATTAAACGTCGATTTACGAGACGTTCCATCACTTTGCAAACTGCACTAGTAAGAGCGATGGGACGATAGTGGGAGGCATCATGTCCTGTAGTACCCGGTTTGCGGAAAGGGAGAACAATGGCAGATTTCCACAGCTGGGGAAGAACTCCTGTGCCCAAATAAGATTGAAGGGGTTTGTAAGAGGACTACAAGGGCTGACCGATGTAAATGTTGTAACATACGAATATGAATGTCATCAGGCCCAGCTGCCGGTGATCGGCAAGCTGAGAGCGTTGCCTCTAGTTCTTGAAGTGTAAAAGGCACATTATACTGTTCTTCTCTGAGAGAAGAAAAGTCCAAGGGTACTAACTCTCTGGCAGACTTTGAGGAAAGAAACGAGGGGCATAGATGGAGCCCCCGGGAAATACGGACCAGATGTGTGTCAAGTTCAATGGCAACGTCAAGAGGGTTTGCTACATCAACACCAGCGACCCGTAGAACAGGAGCCGGGTCAGGAAAGTATTTACCACTCAATTTCCTCACTTTTTTCCAGACTGCACTCATAGAAGCAGAGGTGATGGTGGAAACATAGTCTCGCCAACAAGTGCGTTTAGCTTCATGGATGAGACGGCGAGCGATCGCACGCTTCTGCTTAAAATCAAGAAGTCTCTCAGCGGTTCTATTGTATCGGTACCTGCCCCATGCAGCGCGTTTCAAACGTACTGCACGAGCACAAGCAGGAGACCACCAAGGCACGCACTTCTGAGAATGCCTGCCTGAGGTTTGGGGTATAGAAGGAGAAGCTGCGGTATAAACTGACGTCGAGAAGATGTGTAGGAGCGCATCAATGGAGGATGAAGAAGGAACTTCACTAAAAGCAGTGAGGTGTGAGTAAAGATCTCAATTTGCCCGATCAAATTGCCAGTGAGGGCTACGGAAAGGTGGTGAATAGGAAGGAGAAGTAAGAATGATTGGAAAATGATCGCTGTCATGTAAGTCTGGTAGAACAGACCAGGTGAAGTCTAGTGCTGTGGAGGAAGAGCAGACTGATAGATCGATGCAAGAGAGAGTATGAGTACTTGGATCAAAATGGGTGGGAGTACCCATATTTAAAACATGGAGGGGGTGAGAGGTGAGAAAAGCCTCCAACTGGATGCCACGTGAGTCACAATTACACCCCCCCAGAGGAAATGGTGGGCATTAAAATCACCAAGTAACAGAAGTGGTGGTGGCAAGGATGAAACAAGAAAGGCAAAGTCTGGGATAGAAAATGCTCGAGAAGGAGAGAGATATAAAGAACATATTGTAAACCACTTATTCAAGTGGATACGGGCTGCAGTGTAATGCAGTGAGGTATGGACAAATAGTTGACAGTACGCAATGTAGAAGAAGTGCACTTTCATTAAAGGTCCCATCTGAGAAAGGATCCGAAGAATACAATAAATTATAGCCTGAGATAGGTTGGAAAACAGCCGAGTGTAATTTTGGTTCTTGTAAGCAAGCACCAACAGGGGAAAACCTGGAAAGCAACATCTGAAGCTCACCCCGATTACCCGAGGCTGCGGAT